GCCTATGAGGCACGGGTGGCACGGCTGAACCCCAGCCAGGCCCTGCAGAAAACATCCCTGGCAAGTAGGGGGCTGAGGAGGGGCTGGGAGCAGATAGAGCTGGACAGAGCTGGCAGGGAGAGTGTCGCTGCAGTGCCTGGGGGACCCCCTGCTCCCCACTGTGGGATGTGGGGGTGTGTGTGTTCCCAACACTCCCCTGCTCCACAGACACTGTCCCTGCAGCGGCAGATGATGGAGAACCTGGTGATTGCCAAGGCCCGGGAGGAGACTGTATCCTTCCCATGGGGGGATTGCTCTGAGGGCCGGCTCTGGCAGAGCCTCTGCCCTGTCCTTGGTGTCACCAATCCCTCACAGGCCTTTGGGGTCCTGGCTTGGGGGATGGAGGGGGATGGAGGAGGGTGAAGGGCTGATCCAGCCCCAGATTGTCAGTGCGGGGGCTCCAGACCCTTAACTGAGCTGTGGCCCAGCTGCAGCGCAAGATGGAGGAGCGGCGGCTGCGGCTGCAGGAGGCAGCAAACCGGTGAGTGGGGATGTCACCGTGGGGACCCCAGGGCCAGGGACACCCTGGCAGTGCCCTCACCAGCCCGGGGTGTCCCAGGAGGTTCTCCAGCAATGTGGCCCTCACCCCTGAGGAGCAGGAGCAGCGAGAGCTCTACGCTGCCATCCTCGAATACGAGCAGGACCATGTGAGTGTGTGCTGGGGGCTGCTGAAAGGGGGCAGGGGCCTGTGCTAGGGGGCAGGGGGCCATGCCATGGGGCAGGAGACCTTGCCATTCCCGTAACCAGCCATGGACGCTCCCCAGGACTGGCCCAGGCAGTGGAAGGCCCAGCTGAAGGGGAGCCCAGCGGATCTCTCCGTGGTGTCAGGGCTCTTCTCCTGCCTCCTCAGGTACTGCTGGGGTGGGTAGGGCCCTGCCCAGAGTGGGGGGGCCATGGCCATATGCCAGTGCCCCCCACTCACTGTGCCCTTCTGCCTGCAGCTCTCCCGAGCACCCGATCTCGCAGCTCCTGCGGCGGCTGCAGTGCACGGTGTACGCCCGCCTGTACCCTGCTGTCAGCCAGGGTCCCGCTGACGCCTCCCCCGCCTCCCCCTCGGGCCTCTCCTTCCTGTCACTGGATGTGGGGGGCGCAGGGGGCTCCTCCCTGCCTGCTGAGCCGGGGGGTCGCCGGCTCCGCGCCTCCCGCAGCCTACACTGCATGTTCTCGGTGCCTGAGCACGGCCCGGCTGCGCTGCGGCACAGCCAGTCCAGCACCCCCCTCGCTGACGCTGGCACCCTGGGGCCCGCAGGGGCCCCCCAGGCCCCCCGGGAGAGCTCCTTTGAGGACCTGGAGCGGTTCCTGGCATCCCCCGAGGGCTGGGCCCCTGCAGAGCCCCTGGCTGGCCCTGGGCAGGACACGGCGCTGCCAGAGCTGCTGAAGGGCATTGTGAGGGACATCCACAACGCCATTGGTGAGGGGCAGCCGAAGGAGTGGGGGCAGGATGGGGGCTGTCTGTGGGCTTTCCTGCAACTCGTTTTGACTCGAGGTGCAGGGTGGGCAGGATGGGGAGTACAAGTGTGCTGCGTGACTTGCCCTCCCCAGACAGGCTGCTGGCCCTGACCCTGCTGGCCTTCGAGGGGCTCAGTACCACCGCCAGCAAGGACCAGTGCCTGGCCTGCCTGGAGGAGGCCTTCTTTCCCCCGCTCTGGGCCCCGCTCCTGGCCCTCTACAGGTACCATGACCCACCCTGGGGATGCCAGGCCCCGTCACCCCCTCCTGGCAGCCCCTCCCTTACTGTGTGCCCCCAGGGCCGTGCACCGGCCCCGTGAGGCGGCCCTGGCACTCAGCATGGAGCGGCACCGGCATGCCAGCCCCGCCGACATGGGGCTGGCCTCCCGCCTCTTCCCCACGGCCCCCGGCCGCCCCCCCTACGCCTCCGCAGTGCAGGACCTGCGGCTCATCCCGCTGGAGACCTGTCCCCGCAGAAAGCTGGAGTGCATCGGTGAGTGGGAGGGGAAATGGGGCGGGGGGGGGGAACGGGGATTGGCAGGTGACCCTGAGCACCCACCCTGTGCTACAGTGCGAGCCCTGCGTGGCATCTGCGAGTGTGCTGAGGAGTACTGCGGTGCCCGGGACACCCGGACCCCTGCCTCGGCCGCCATGTGAGTGCGAGGGGCACAGGGGGCAGGCCAGGCTCATGGCCAGGCAGAGCTGGGGGAGGGAGAGGGGCCGGTGTGGGGCTGGGAGTTTCTGTGGCTGGTGTTGGGGCCCCAGTCCCCATTGCCACCATGGCTGACGATCCCTGTTGTCCCAGTGGGGCAGATGACCTGCTGCCCATCCTGTCCTACGTGGTGCTGCAGACAGGGCTGCCCCAGTTGCTCTCCGAGTGTGCTGCCCTGGAGGAGTTCATCCACGAGGGGTACGTGCTGGGGATGCTGGGCCATGCAAGCACCCCTGGGCTGGGGACACTGTCACTCCTCCCAGGACAGGGCTGCCAGGGTGGGAGGTGGGGAGGGAACATGGGTGGGAGCAGCAGCTCTTGTGAGCACAGGGCTGCGGGGTGGTGGCCATGGTGGTGTGGTGGCTGTGATGATGTCCTGGCCACAGCAGTGCCCCAGCCATGATGGCACAGTGGCTGTGATGGTATCCGAGCCATAATGATGTCCCAGCTGTGGTGGTGTCGTGGCTGTGATGGCATGGTGGCTGTAGCAGTGTGCTGACCACGGCAGAGTCCTGGCCACGACATTGTGATAGCAGTGTCAGTGTCCTGGCCATGGCTGTGTCCCAGCCATGATGGCATGATGGTGCTGACAGTGCAATGGCCATGATGGTGGTGTGGTGGCTGTGATAGTGTCTCAGCCATGGCAGTGTCCCAGCTATGATGGCACAGTGTCCGGGTGGTGCCAGTGTCCCAGCGGTGCCAGTGTCCTGGTGGTGCCAGGTACCCGGTGTCCCCTTGGTGACAGTGTGGCGGGTGTGGATGCAGGTACCTGATCGGGGAGGAGGGGTACTGCCTGACGTCCCTGCAGAGCGCCCTGTCCTACGTGGAGTCCCTGCAGTGAGGAGGGGGCAGCGGGGGACCCCCGACACCGCCGGGCAGGTGCTGACCGCCCCCGGGTCCTCCTGGCCGCGGGGGGGGCGCTGTCGCGCTGCTCAGCCCCGCCCCGGGGGCGGAGCCACGGGCGACTCGCGCGTTCCGGGACGGGGAGCGCGGAAGGGGAACGGGAGCGGCCGGGACCGGCAGGTGGGGGGGACCGCGGCCGGGGAAGGACACCGGAGGTGGCTGTGAACTGGGACCGTGGGCTGGCGGGGGGAAACGGGGCCGGGGGGCCCTCGGCGGCCGGAGTCCCGGTGCTGAGGCTTTGGCTGGGGGTCCTCACAGGTTTGGGGGGATGCCAAGCTGGGAGGGTCTCACGGGTCTGAGTGCCGGGGCTTCAGGGTCTGGGGTCACAGAGGTTCTGAGTCTCACAGGCGTGGGGGCTCAGGGTTTGGGGTCTCAGGGGCCTTGGGGTGCCAGAGCACGGGGTTTGGGTGCGGGGTGGTGTCTCACGCTGCGGTACCCCCAGGATGTGTGCGGGCTCGGCGATGCGGCAGGAGCACAGGCAGGAGTACGGGCAGGAGTTCCGGCAGGAGTTCCACCAGGAGTACCGGCGGTGCCTGGAGCAGGAATTCGGCCCCGCCGGGCCCTGCCCGGACCCCGCGGTGGCGGAGCGGCTGCGGCAGCGGCTGCGGCGAGAGCCGGCGCTGCTCGGGGCCCTGCTGGAGGACGGCCCGGCCCTGCTGGCCCGGGGGCTGCGGGGCCAGCCCGACCCTGAGCTGGCGCTGCGGGGCATGGCTGGCGCCTTCCGGCTGCTGGAGCTGGCAGCCCTCAACCTCTACCTCTTCCCGTGGCGCCGGGAGTTTGGCACCATCCAGGTGAGCCCCGCGGTGCTGGGGGGATGCTCTGGGGGTCTCCTGACACCTCCAGCCGTGCCCCTGCTTTCCCTGCAGACCTTCTCCGGCGCCTTCGTGCACCTGCTGCGCCCGGCGCTTCCTGAGGCCGACCTGCTGCGGAGTCTGGGCCGCCTGGGCTACGAGCAGCGGGACCAGCACCGCCTGGCCGTGGCCCGGCCGCCCCCGGGGCCGGTGCTGATCGCAGCCGCTGCCGGATTCCTGTGCTGCCGGCTGGAGTGTGAGATCCTGGGGGAGCTGGCGCTGCAGCTGCAGCCACGCCAGCCCTGCGCCGAGGAGCTGCTGGAGGCACGGCACCGGGCCAGGGATGGGCAGAGCTGCCTGGAGCTGCTGCGGGACCCGGGGATGCAGTGTGGGGCGGCTGCTGACTGCGTAGATCTGTACCGGGACACACTGGACATCCCCGAGGACATGGGGGGCGAGGACGCAGTTCCCCCAGCACTGTGGAGGGACCCTCAGGACGTGCCCATGAGGGGCTGGGGACACTGCAATGAGCCGGAGACTGAGGGCAGTGCTGAGCCAGACACCTCTCACCTCTTCTTGGAGCAGGAGTTTGCAGGGGGCAGCAGAAGCCCCCAAGTGCTGGGGGAGCCCCAGGATTGCCCCCAGGATGCCCCGGAGCTGCCTTGCTACCAGCTGCACTCGTGCCTGCGCCGGGGCACGCTGCCCTCGTACTGCTGCAGCACCTGCCGGCAGCTGCACACAGGGGGCTGTGCCACAGGCCGTGCCTGCCGCAGCCGGCACCACGGGCAGGAGCTGCGCGGGGAGCGCCAGCAGCGGCTCTGGCTGCAGCGCACGGAGCTGGACATGCTGTTGGCCGATGGCTCTGGACCCCACTCCTAATACTGCTGGTGGAAGGGCACAGGAGGGGCATGGCCACTGCCTGGCCCCTGCAGCAGGAAGGGAACAGGAACAGCCATGGCTTGGCACAAGGATGCTGGACTCATCAACCTCCCTGAGATGGCAGTGCCTGTGCTGGGCTCTAGGAGGAGAGGCCCTGCTCCAGCCCCAGTGCTCCCACTGTAAATGACTCCATGCATCAGTAAAGCAGCTGCCTCAGTGTGGGGGGTCTCCTGTCCTGGGGAGGGGTGACCTGGATGCCTGGTCCTAGGGTAGGGACAGGGCCTGTGGTGACAGCCAACAGCATGGCCCCCTGGGAGCAGCTCCTGCCTCCCCCAGGGGAGCAGGGCCAGGATCCACTTAAAGAGGGGCACAGCCTAGGGTGTCACAGAGGTGTCCTCATGCCAAGTGTCTCCTTGTCCCCAGAGAGGGATGTGGGGCACATAGGAAGCATAGCAAGGCCGTGGTTTCTTCCAGTGCCTCTGGCACCAAGGCACGAGGCCATTCACTTCTCCTGTTACCACTGACATGTTTTTATTGACAGCAAAGTTGGGGTTCCCCTCACAGGCAGCACTGGCTGATACCCCCATGGGACAGGACTGACCCTGCTAATCACAGAGGGCTCTGGGCCCTGTCTCTCCACTCTCCTTTCTCCAGTGCTGCGCTCCCCCAGCCCCAGACTGGAACCTGCCAGTCCCCTGCAGGGAAATGGATCTGGGAGGTGTGCTGGGAACAGACAGAGCCCACAGTGCCAGGGCTGTTGGGCCAAGGGAGGATGTCCCAGCTGGGACACACTGTGCGTGCCCCCACGGATCAGCTCAGGGCTTGCTCCGCTTGGCCTGGCTCTCTGGCCCCGTGCCCGCCGCCCGCTTGTTGCGGTGATGTGGGAAGGTGGGCATCAGCTCCGGCTCACAGGCTGCAGGGCACAGAGGGGGTCAGCAGGGCCCAGAGGCCCCCAGCCCTGCCCCAGGAGGGGAGTACTTACGCAGGGGCTTCTCCTTGAAGTAGGAGCTCTCCAGGCAGTCCTTGGCCGTGGCCCTGTGGAGACAAGGGGATGTGACAGATACCCCCACCCTAGCCCAGGGGACAGTGTGAGGCAGGTTCCCTGCCCTGCCTGGCTCATACCTCTTCTTGGGATCATACATGAAGAGAAAGTTGAGCAGACGCAGCCCAGCCTCTGACAGCCAGGGGAATCTGTGCTTCAGGTTGTTGTAGGGCTGCTTCCGGAGGGTGTACTGGCTGGCCAAGGGCAGCTTGGAGAAACCCTGGGGGAGTCAAGAGTGTGAGGAGGGGGCAGGGAGCAGGCAGGGATTGGCAGGGAGAGCAGGCAGGACTGGCAGGGAGCTCTCACTGGCCAGATGTTCTCGTTGGGCGTCCCCAGCAGCTGCACGATGAGGTCGATCTGGTGGATCTCGGAGGTGCCTGGCAGCAGTGGTTTGTGTGCCAGCAGCTCGGCCAGGATGCAGCCTACGGCCCTGAGGAGCACAGGAGGAGCTCCCCATTAACTCCCACCCTGGTTTGCAGCCCCTCCCCAGCCCCTGCCTGGGCAGCCCCCCTTACCACATGTCGATGCTGGTGGTCTGGGTGGTCATGCCCAGCAGCAGCTCCGGCGCACGGTACCTGCACAGGGGACGCTCCGTGGCAGAGCCGGCCCCGCTGTGAGCCACCCCTGCCCCGCTGTGGGGACTCACCCCCGGCATGGCCACTCACCACAGCGTCACCACTTTGGGGGTCATGGGCTTGGGGGGCATCCCGTAGGTGCGAGCCAGGCCGAAATCAGCTGCAACAGAGACTCTGGGTCAGGAGGGAGCCGAACTCTGAGCTCTGGCCATGGCATGGAGCAGATGGAGCTGCCAGGACTCACCTATCTTCACACAGCCCTTGTCAGTCATCAGCAGGTTGGAGACCTTCAGGTCCCTGTGAGGCACAGAGTGGCTGCTCAGCACCATCCTCAGCATGGCTCCTCCGCACCCTGGAGCTGAGCCATGATGAGGAGAAGCCAATCCCATCATTCCAGAGCCTCCCTGCCCTGCTGGTGCTCCCACATGGAGCCACTGATGGGCACCAAACCCTCAACCGGAGCTGCTCAGTCCCAGGCTGTGGGAGGTGTCCCCTGACACCCCCTTCCCCCACCAGCTCCATCCTGCTGCTCCCACCTGTGGATGATGTAGTTCTCGTGGAGGTACTGCAGGCCCTTGAGCACCTGCAGGATGATACACTTCACCTGCAGACAGAGACAGGAGCTCCAATCTCTGCGGGAGAAGCCCCCTCTGAGAAAACCCCTGGAGGTCAAACCCACTGGGGTGTCCTGCAGCCTCCCCATCCCCATGTCCTCCCAGGGGTTCTGGGGGGGGGCATTTTCTCCCAGCTCCATTTCCCTGCCAGTCTGCTCCACACCAAAATCCAGGCTGGAAAGTTCTTGGAGGCTTCTGTGAGAGCCCACACTCCCTCAGAATCCCTGGAGTCCCCCAGCACAAGGTCCAGGGAGCCCCCTGTGGTGCTGGGGGTGTTTTGGTGGGAGTGACAGCATTCTGTCAGGGATGCTGGACCCAAATCCTGACCCACCTCATACCTGAGCCTCTGAGAAAGGCGTCTGCATGTTCTCCAGGAGGCTAGCCAGGTCCTGCTCACAGTAACCCATCACCAGGAAAATACTGTCAGAGACAAAACATGGTCGGAGCTCCCCCAGAACAGGTCTATGTGCTGAGGGGGCTCAAGGGCCTGAGGAGGGCTGGAGGGCAGAGGGAGGACAAGAGAGGGGACTCTTTGCTCTCACCTCTCCAGGTGGTTCCCCACAACTACCTCTTTCAGCTCCACGATGTTGGGGTGCCGGAGCTGCAGGAGCAGGGTGATCTCCCGCAGGCTGCTGATGGGCATTCCTGCGGGGAGGGATGAACAACTGCTTCAGGACGGCTCGGAGCCAGAGCTGGAGCTGCGGCAGCCCCCGTTCCCTTCCTTCGTTCTGTACCATCTTTCTCGTTGTCCATCCGCACCTTCTTCAGCGCCACCGTCTCGTCCGTCAGTGTGTCCCGGGCGCGGTCTGGGGGCAGCACAGACCACGCACACGTGGTTTGTCCCGACCGCCGCTGAGGAGCAGCCGCAGCCTCGGCCCCCCCAGCCCAACGCGCCCCCGCGGGGGTGGAACTGGGTGGGCTCAAGGACCCTCCCCACCCCAACCGCGCCGCGATTCTGTGAGGGGCAAGGGCTTCTCACTCACACACGATGCCGTACGTGCCCTCTCCGATCCGGTTCAGCTTCTCGAACTCCTTCACGCTGCGGCACCGGCCCAGCTGGAACCAAAGAGCCGCGTCCAGGCGGTGCCGCCCCGGAGGCTCGTCACCGGGACCCCCCACGCACTCTCTCACACCCCGGGGGACCCGCTGCGCTCACCCGGTCGGCGGCCGGCACCTCGAAGAAGCCATCGCCGCGCAGGCGGCGCAGCCGGAGCGGCTCCAGCTCGGGCTCGGCCGGTGCCGGTCCCGGCTCGGGCGGTCCCGGATCAGCCGCCGCCGTCGTGTCCGCCATGGCGGAGCCCACCCTGTCGCATGCGCCGTGCCTCCTGCACGCAGGCCTCCACCTACCCTCGTTGCCCCTGGCAACGGTTGCTCGGGAGGGACCAATAGCGGCCTTGTCCTTACATGGCCCCGCCCCTCTGTAGTCCCGACAGTGCCGGCCCGTGCCAGCCGGACCCCGCCCCCGATGTGTGATCACGCCCCGAGATATGGCCCCGCCCATGTTTAACCACGCCTATCTGTGCATTGGCCACGCCTCCATACCAGTGGCCCCGCCCCCTCCCGTCTAACCCCCCACGCCCCTGCGGCTTTGTCTCTCTCGCGAGACTCGGCTCGCGCCCCCCGGAAGCGGTGGATGCGGATCCCGGAAGCGGCGGCGGAACCCGGAAGCGGCGGCGGGACAGGATGGACGGTACTGGGGGGCTGGGCCGTACTGGAGGCTCTCGGGGGGGCTGCGGCTGGGCCTGAGGGCGGAGCTGAGGGCGGGAGGCAGGAGCTGAGACCGAGGGCCAGGACGCGGTGGTGGGGCTCCCGGTTCCCCGGTACCCCGATCCCCCGGTCCCGGCCGTGTCGCTGACGCTGTGCTCTCCTTCCCTTCCAGACACGCTCTTCCAGCTGAAGGTGAGGGCACAGCGTCGGCCCCTCCGCCTCCTCTCCGTCCCGTCTCGCCGGTCCCGAGACGGTCCCGGGACTGGTTCCACCGCTGGTTCGGCCTCATCGGGGCTCCTCCTGCGGCAGGACCATCACGGGAGGAGCCTCGACTCGCGGGAGTGTCCGGGGGTGCCACGGGCAGTGGGTCGGGCAGCAGAGGCCGGTGGGAGGTAGCTGGGCTGGGTGGGTACTGCGACTGGGACACGGGAGGATGGTTCCTACTCCAGAGGGTGGGTAGGGTGGAATACGGGGATAAATCCTGCCTTAGGAACGGAGTGAGGCCCTGGCTCTGGTTGTCCAGAGAAGCTGTGGCTGCCCCATCCCTGGAAGTGTCCAAGGCCAGGCTGGACAGGGCTTGGAGCAACCTGGGCTAGTGGATGATGTCCCTGCCCATGGCAAGGATGGGACTGGATAGTGTTTGAGGTCCCTTCCCACCCAGTCCATCCCATGACTCTGCCCCTGTTTTCCCCAGTTCACAGCAAAGCAGCTGGAGAAACTCTCCAAGAAAGCTGAGAAGGACTCCAAGGCTGAGCAAGCCAAGGTCAAAAAGGTGGGTAGGGGTCCATCCTGGGGGAGCTCAGCTCCATGGGGGCAGCTGGAGATCCCCACTCCTGCTCTGGGGGGGGCAGGGAAGGGGCAGGTCCCCTCCCCACCCTCCATTCGTGAATCTGCCAGGGAGATGTGGCACATCCAGCAACACCAGGAGGAGTTTAATTCCTGACCCAGGGCATTCCCAGCTTCTGGGGGAGCTGTTCCCTGCTGGGAACCCCCCACTGTGGTGGTTTGAGGCCATGGGGGGGTCTCTGAGCAGGGATTCCCTGTGTCCCAGGCCCTGCAGCAGAAGAACGTGGAATGTGCCCGGGTCTATGCTGAGAACGCCATCCGGAAGAAGAATGAGGGGCTCAATTGGCTCCGGATGGCATCCAGGGTGGATGCCGTGGCCTCCAAGGTGCAGACAGCCGTCACCATGAAGGGGGTAAGAGCCTCGGGGGGATCTGTGGATTCAGGATGGAGCTTCCCCTCCCTGAAGTTGCATCCAAACACCTTGGGCTCCCCCATCCCCCAGAGTGACCCCACCAAGCCCGGTGGGGTCAGTTCATCCTATCTTGGAGGGCCTCACAGCAGGGCTCGGATTTATCCATTGCCCTCAGGGCAGCCCTGAAGAAATCTTCTCTTGCAGGTGACAAAGAACATGGCTCAGGTGACCAAGGCCTTGGACAAGGCCCTGAGCTCCATGGACCTGCAGAAGGTGTCAGCAGTGATGGACAAATTCGAGCAGCAGGTGCAGAACTTGGATGTTCACACGTCGGTGAGTGACGGGGGCCCAGGGAGACAGGGAGGGTGGGATCCTGGTGGGATCCCCGCTGGGTCTCAGAGTGGAGGAGCCGTGCAAGGTGACAGAGCTGTGTGTGTTCCAGGTAATGGAGGACTCCATGAGCTCTGCCACCACGCTGAGCACGCCACAGGAGCAGGTGGACAGTTTGATTGTGCAGATCGCCGAGGAGAATGGGCTGGAGATCATGGACCAGCTGAGCCAGCTGCCAGAGGGGGCCTCGGCCGTTGGGGAGAGCTCTGTGCGCTCCCAGGAGGACCAGCTGTCTCGGAGGTTGGTGCTTTCCTGGATCCTGGGCACTTCTAGTCCTTCCAGGGAGCCCTCACCAGCATGAAGGGAAAGAGTTGGCCCATCCCAGGGGGCTGAGCCCCTTCCCTCATGCTCAAGAAAGTCCTCAAGGCTGTGGGGCCACTGTGGCCTGGGGAGGGGGTGGGTTTGGCACTGGACAGTGGATAAGAGAGGGCCAAGACTGGTGGGAGAGGGGTAGGATGGGTGGGAGAGGGGTAGGACAGACCTCCCCCCTGCTCCACACTCGCTCTCAGGCAGATGCTCTGCTCAGGGAGCACTTGGCACTGCCCTGCAGACGGCTCTGGAACAGCTGCTCTGCCTGGAACTGCCCCAGCAGGAGCTGCTGCGCTTCCTTCCCTGCCCCCACAGAGCACCACGGGCCCATCTGGGCACAGCCCCGGGGCTGCAGTGTGGGAACAGCACAGGGAGAGGGACCAGGAGTGGGGACAACCTGGGGACGGGGACCAGGAGAGTCTGGAGGAGGGACCAAGAGGAGAAGAGGAGTAAGGAATCTGCTCTCCACGCCACCTCTGCTGTGTCCATGATGGACACCCTGAGTTCACCCTCAGCCACCATAGCTGTGGCTCCAGAGCAGAATTTCTGGGAGGTACCCAGGCAGATCTGTTCCCTGGACACACTGGTGCTCCTGAGCTGTGGCTGTTCCTGCTGCTCTGACTCCCTTCCCTCTCCTGCTCTCCCTTCCAGGTTGGCTGCCCTTCGGAACTGAGGCTCCGGCGGCCCCTGCCGACGGCATCGCTGGAACGGCCGCGGGGGGAGGGGCCGGGACCCCCTTCCGCCACCGTCCCCAGCCCCCCCTGCCTCGAGACTGTTCCTCTGGGGGTGACAGCCCTTCCCCGGGCAGGTGCCGATCCCGGCAGGGCTGAGGAATGCTTTGCTGGGGCTGATTTTAGGGGGGTTTAAGTTGGGGCGTGCTGCTGGTGCTTGGCAGTGCCCCATGTCCTGCTGCTGATGGAACACTAAGGGGACTCTCCTGGTCTCGGGGTGCTGCTCCTCAACTCCTCTGATGTTCCCTGTTCTGGGGCTGCGCTGTGGGTTCACCGGGAGCTATTAGGGAGGAGCAGGGAGATTCCCTGTGGGAAGAGCCCTATGCTTGGCTGTGGGTCTGGGGAGGTCAGTGCCTTGCAGGAAGGGGCGGTGACACCATGGAATCCGTTCCCTCCCAGTCACTGTCCCCATATCCCACCAGGCCGACCCCCCCCAGCCCCATACCACGAAGTGCCCTTTGGAGCACCCTTCCTGCCCAGCCCTGTGCGTGTCAATCCACACACTCCCCAGCCACTGCCAGCTGGAAATGATTATCCTGGCCCTGACCTCCAGTTTGGACCAGTGAGGATACATGTCCAGCACTGGGAGCAGATTGCAGCAGCTGTGGTGGCTGCAGACACGTCCCCAAATGTCCCCCCCGCCCAGTGGGTGTGACCAGGAATGCTGAACCATCCCAGAGCAGTTCTGCCTCGTTCCCTGTGCCTCATTCCTGGATATCTGCTGTCCCCTCCAGCTGCTGGCACTGGGCTGGGAGTGGGGGCTGCTCCCCGTGTGCCCTCTTGCTGCTCATCCCCCTTCACCTTCCCCTGGGGCTGGAGGTGTTTGTGCCCCTCTCATGTGACCCCTGGTCACAGAGCTGCTGGATTGCTGGAAGCTCTCCAGGAAGGAAGCGCTGTTTCCTTTGGCTCTTGCAGGAGGAACTTTGACCTCTGGGTGGGGAGGGGGCCTCGGGGGCTACAGGGTCACCTCCCCGGCACTCAAAGCACAAACACTTCCAGCTGCTCTGATTATTTTTCCTGAGTTGAATGGCCTTGGCAGCGTGTGGCTGGTGACACGGAGCCTTCCTCTGTGCCAAGGAGGAGGAGGGGGTGGCTTTGGTCTATGCCAGAGCATTTGGATCTTGTGTCACCTCTTGATGGGCTGAGCAGGAAGCAGGGGGACCCCAGAGATTTGTGCCTAGCTCTTGCCCCTCTGCACAGTGTTCCTGTGGGGCTGGGGGCCCTGGACCTGCTCCTTCCCCCCTGGGCTCTGTCTCCGTGGTTTCCTTGGTGATTTTTTTTTTAAGCTTGTCTCATTTGCCTTCTTTTTCCCCAAACCGTGCCCCTCCCCTCTCGTGGATTTAAATAAACAATCCCTGGACTCCCTCTGTGTGTGTTGGGATGCCGGGGCTGGGCTGTGGTCCTGCCCTGGGACAGGACCTGGTGCCGAGGGGCTGCCCTGGAGCTGAGGAGAGGAAGAAGAAGGGGCTGCTCCTGCCCCAACAGCCTCTGCCCAGCCAGGGGCCGGGAAGTGACTAAGGGTATCAGCTCTGGGAGTGCTGGAGGGGAAGGACCGCCCATTGCACCCCTGCAGGGACCCATCCCCTTCGTGTGGCCAAACCAGGGGTGACCGGAGTGAGCAGGAGCTTGGGGAGGCTGAGGCAGCCCGAGACCAGCTCCCTTCCACAGTGGGGCTGGATCGGCCCAGTTCCCTGTGCCATTCTCTGGCCCTCGTGGGGACAAGCCGGGCTTTCCAAGGGGATATCCTGGGATTGTCAGCCCACCGAGGGACCCCCCGTGCTCTACACCCCGGTTCTGCCATCAGCACCTGCCCACAGCAGCCTCACAGGCGGGGATGGGGCTGCGGGGCTGGTGGTGCAGCCTTCTGTGCTCCGATCCCTTCCTGTTCCCGTCCCGTGCTGTACCCATCCCTTCTCCATGCCTGTCCGTTCCCCGTGCTCATCCCTTCACTGTTCCCGTCCCTTCCGCGTGCTCATCCCTTCTCCGTCCCCATTCTCTTCCGTGTCCCCATTCCCCTCCCCGTGCCGGGCTGGCAGAGGGCTCTGTGCCCCAGCCAAATCCTGAATACCACAGGAAGATGGCTCTCCTTCTCCTGTCTGTTCTTCCGCCTCCGCTCCGAAGACAGGCTGTTCCCGAATGTGAGAGGAAATTGCTAAGGAGATAATTGAGTAGCCAATTAATTAACTAATGATTAATGGAAGCATCCTGCGGAGGCAGCGCTGCCGCCCTGGCCAGGTGTTGCCGGGATGTGTCACTCCCGGTGCAGTTATGGCGTCCTGGTGCCCGGGGAGGGCATCCACCGGGACCCTACTCCTCTGCCCAACTGGTGACGTGCCAGAGTGCCCCATGACACGCGAGGGTGCCCCGTGACATGCCAGAGTGGCTCACCATCCCAACCAGGAGTTTGTGGGCGCTGGGTCCCCGCAGGTCCCACACTGACAGTCACTGCCGGCACTGCTCGAGCCACGGGTTTATTTTGCGGATGGTTCCGGCAGGAAGGGCTGCAGGATTGTGCCCAACCCGGCAGCCCCCGGGCAGGGTGGCAGGGCCACAGTGGCAGTTGGATGCTAAGAGAGCAGAGAGAGGCGCAGGGCCAGTGCCAGCGGCAGTGCCAGGGCTGCGGGCAGGAGCCGGGCTGTGCCAGAGCCACTGGAGTACCCATAGCTGGTCCTGCACGTCCCGTCCAGCTCCTCGAAGGCGATGGGTGTCTCGTGGGCAGGTGTGCCCTGCAGGGTCCCCTTCACCTGACGTGGGGATAAGGTAGGCTCCTGCTGCGAGGGGCAGTGCCTGGGCCCCACACAGCCCTGCCACCCCGCACATCCCTGTGCCACCCCATGCCATCCCACACATGTCCATTCATCCCCTGCTCTGCGTGTCCCAGTGCCAAACCATGAACCATATCCCCATAAATCCCTGAATGCCACACGTTCTGATGTTCCACCTGTCTCTGCTGCCCCAGGTGACCCCATGACCAAAATGTCCCTGTGCCCCATGTGTTCCCTGTTCCGTGTCCCCATGCCCTGTACACCCCTGTGCCCAGTGTACCCAGTACCCCTTGTGTCCCCATGGCCCAAGTATCCCTGTGCTCCCACTGTCCCCTTGCTTGCCCTGTGCATTCCAGTGCTCCCCATGCCCCACTCACCTCCTCCACCTTGCTGAAGACCCGGAGCAGGTTCTCAGCCAGGGCCAACTTCACCTCCTGCTCTGTCCAATTCCTTGCCAGCAGCTCGGCCACCAGTGCAGGATAGGTGGAGACATCCTCCAGGCCAGTGGGGAGCCTGTACCACCCACAGCTCACAGCTGGGCCACCCCTGCACCCCCCAACTGCCCACACAGGGCACAGGGGAGATTCCCCCCCCCGTCCCACCAGCACAGCCCATCCCGCATCCATCACCCCCTTTACCGTGTGACCCCATCATAGTCCCCACCAAAGCCAACAGACTGGGCCCCGGCCACCTTCTTCACGTAGTCCATGTGGTCTGCGGGCACAGGGGGGTTGAGGTGAGTGGGACAGGGGCATCGCTGCTGCACCCCACCCACCCGGACACCACCTCACTTGCAACATCAGCCAGTGTGGCTGTGTTCTTGCAGGTCACGTAGTCATTGTAGAAGTTGACCATCACCAGGCTGCCCGTGGAGGCCTGGAGGAAAGAGTCCTGAGCCCCATGGCCCCTCACAGCCCAGTGTCCCCTGGCCTGCCCTGGCCGTGCCCCTGCTCACCACCAGCTGCAGCACATCATCGGGCACGTTGCGGCGGTGAGCACAGAGGGCGTAGGCAGACGAGTGGCTGAAGATGATGGGGGCTTTGGAGATGTTCAGCACAACCTTCATCGTATCCACCGAGACGTGGGCCAGGTCCACAATCATGCCCAGGCGGTTCATCTCCTCCACCACTGTCTGCAGGGACAGGGACCAGGATGGGAACAGGGATGAGGGTGTGGAGGGAGGCATGGGAGGGTCCCCTGGAGTAACCTGTCCCCAGCCCACAGCTGGAGCTGCTTGAGTGGCTTTTGGCAGATGGGACTGATGAGTGGGTGGGTGGGTGGATGGATGGATGGGTGGATGGATGGAGAATGGATGGATTATGGATGGGTAGGACACTGCACCCAGGGCAAATCACCCAGCTGGTGGGTGCCAGTACCATGTACCCCCTCAGCCACTGCTCCTGGGCACTGCTGCCATTGCTGTTCCTTACCTTCCCAAAGGCTGAGAGGCCATGGTGCACGGGCTTTTCCTCCTCGGTGTCCACCAACCAGTTGTCAGCCCTGTGGAGCAGGGAGAGCATCAGGGCAGCCCCCTGACCACACCCCCCACGCCATCCTGGTTCCCTCATGCCCGGGGTCCTACCAGGGAGTGTTGCAGCTGTGGGTGAGGGTCATGTAGCGCACGCCCAGGCGGTAGAAGGTGCGCAGGACGCCCAGGCTGCTGTCGATGGAGTGGCCGCCCTCCACCCCCATGAGACTGGCCACCTTCCCGCTCTGGAATGCATTCTGGATGCCTGTGGAGGGTGGGGGGCATCAGCTGGGGTGGGCACAGCACACCAGCACCTCCAGCCCCCCATGCCCCAGCCCCGTGCCCCCTCACCAGCACTGTCGGTGACACACTCGAAGGTCTCTGGGTACAGGTCGCACATGCGCTGCACCACATCGATCTGCTCCAGCGTGCGCTTCACCGCGTCCCTGTTCTGCGTCTCACAGGGTACGTACACGGACCAGAACTGCCCAGGTACCCCATCAGCATGGGGACACAGACCCGGGACTGCTGCCACCCACCCCGGTGCCCTTGCCCGCCCCAGTACCCGCCTCAGTCCCGGTGCCTTCCCCAGTGCCCCTGCCCATCCCAGTGTCCTTTCCAGTGCATCCTGCCTGACCTAATGTCCTTCCCAGTGCTCTCACCAGTATCCATGCCCACCCCCGTGACCTCTTCCCACCCTGGCACCCACCCCAGTGTTCTTCCCAGTGCCCTCTATCCACTCTGGTGTCCACCCTGGTACCCATCCCATTGTTCCTGCCCATCTGAGTGCCCTTCCTGGTGCCCCTGCCCACCCCAGGGACCCCTGCCTGCCTCAGTGCCCTCCCCAGTGTCCCTGTCATCCTCATTGCCCCCAATCCTCCCCAGTGCCCTCATTGGTGACCCTGCACACCCTGGTGCCCCCTGCTCTCCCCAGCACCTGCCCCAGTGCCCCCCCCACTGTGCCATCCCACCTGCCCGCCCACGTGTCCGCGGCGCAGTTTGGGGATGTTGGTGTGGGTGTCGTTCAGCAGTGTCAGGTTGGCTGCTGGCACCCTCAGCTGGTTGTTGAACCTCTTGAGGAGCTGCCAGGGCAGGTCGTTGTGCCTGGGCAGGGCAGGGATGGGCATTGAGGGGAAGCCTGGCCCTCTGCCCTCCTGCTGCCCAGCTTCCTGGCTGGCTGCACACACAGTCCCTGCATCTGGCTGTCATTCCATTCATCCATCCATCCACCCATCCATCCATCCACCCACCCATCCATCCATCCACCTATCCATCTTCCATCCGTTATCCATCCATCCATCCATCATCCTTCCTGCCATCTATCCACTCATCTGACCCCTCTGCCAAAAGCCACCCAAGCAGCTCCAGACAGGAGCCAGCCCATGTGGGGACAGCCCTGTGCACCCCTCCAAGCCTCCATCCCCATCCCCCACGAGCCCTTGCAGCCGGGGAGCCAGCACAGCATCCCTTGGGCAGGATGTTACCGTCATCATCTCCTCTGTGGGATGTCATCACTGCAGGGACATCCTGCCACCCTTATCCTGCACCCAGCAGTGCCACTGGGGAAGTGCTGGCGGGGGGGCAAGACCCACAGGCTGGCTCCCACTTCTCCCCCCTGCGTCACAGTCCCACACCCCTGGCTCCCCCTGCCCTGCTCCCTCTTCCAGTGACTGCTGTGGCACAGCACTGGTGCCACAAGGAGTTCCTGTGGGGGATTGGAGCCTCCTGAGAACAGACTGGGGACATCCCTTAAGACATAACTCCACAGGACTGACTCACTTGCCCCGAGCAGGGACTTCCCGCGGGGAAGCCTGACTCCAACTTACTGGCACCCTGCCCACTCCTGCTGGGCTGCACTGCCCTGGGGATCCCCTCGGCTGCACAGATGGTCCCATGGGATCCCCTGGGAAAGCTGTCCCCTCTCTCTGCACAGCCCTGGGGTGCTCGGCACGAGGATCCCCTGGAAAAGCTTCCCTGCATGGCCCCAGGGTGCTGAGCATGGAAATTCCCTGGGAAAGCTGTCCCCTGTTCCTGCACACCCCAGGGCACCCAGCACAGGGATCCCCTGGGAAAATTGTTCCCTGTCTCTGCATAGCCCTGAGGTGCCCAGCACAGGAATCCCCCATCGGCC